TGGTAGGTGAGAAATGGTATGTCAATGTTCTTCTAATTTGCTTAGTCCATTTGGGCTTTTATAACAAAATACCACACACTGGTGACTTATACACAACAGAAATTTATTTTTCACCATTCTGGAGGCTGGAAGTCCAATGTGGTACCAGTATGGCCGGGTCCTGGCAATGGCCCTTGGCCAGTTTGCAGACTACTGATTTCTTGCTTTGTCCTTACAGGTTAGAAAAGGCATGGGCGCTCTGTGGGGTCCCTTTTATAACAGCACTGAGTCCACCCAGGAGGGCTCCGCCCTCAGGGCCTAATCACTTCCTAAATACCATCGCCTGGGGCATTATGTTTTCAACATATGAATGGTGGGGAGGGGAGACACGCAAATAGACCATGTCATTTGCATTTCTCTGAAAGAATTTGATTTTTTTTTTACGTTTATGGGTCATTTTTAGATCTTTTTGGTAAGTTGTCTTTCACATCTTTTTCTCATTTTTCTTTTTGATTTTTGGTCCTTTGGCCTTCATTTATAAAGAATTCTTCATGGGTAGTTAGGAATATTGGTCCCTTGTCTGTTACGTAAGTTGCATCTTCTCCCAGTTTCTTGTCTTTTGACTTTGTTCATGACAGGTGTTATCACCCAATCTAAAAAATTTTTATTTTAGGCACATTAACCTTCAGTTGCCCCTGGATTTTAAGTCGTAGTTAGGATTTCCCTAAATCCAGGTACTTGCAAGGTTCCAGTTTTTACATTTAGATCCCTAACCACTTGGAGTTTATTCTTGGCTATGGTGTTAGATATGGATCTGTCTTTATCTTTCCCCAAATGGCCACATTGGCATCATTTGTTAAAAAGTCCATCTTTACCCCAGTGATTGGAAAGGACATCTTTATCACATACTAAATTTCCAGGTGTGCTTAGTTCTCTATCTGGGCCATTCGATTCCACTGCTCTATTTATCTATTCGTGCAGCAGTACCACACTGTTTCAATACTAGAGGTCTTAGAGTACTTTTGAATGTCGGGTATGGCTAGTCCTCTATCGTAAAAGTTTTCCTTTTTCAGTGGTTTCCTGGTTATTCCTAAATGTTTGCTTTCTTAGTGTTTGTTTTTCTATATAAACTTTAGAATAATTATTATAATAATAATTCCATAAAATAGATTGTGGTGCTTCTACAAAGACTGTATTAAATTTGTAACTTAGGCAGAACTGACATCTTTATGTTGAGTCCTCCCATCCATGAATGAGATGTCTCTACATTTGTTCAAGTCTTATTTGGTGCCTTTGAGGAGAATTTTTGGCATCTTTCTTCTATGTTTTTGGACATACCTTGTTAAATTTATTCCAAAATATTTAATCTTTTTACCATGGTAAAGGGGATTTTCACTACCATTGTGACCTCTGTTTGTTGTTTGCATATGCTAATTTTGCATCCTACTACTTCATGAAAATGTTGTTGTGTTAGTTTTATCACTGATTCTTTGAGATATATCATGGTGTTAAATTCTTTACCCCAGCAGAAGGGAGTGCTGAGGTTGGTGGTGCCCTGCTGCCTCAGTGGGGGTTTTCTCAGGAATATTTCAGGACAGGGGCCTCTATGAGAAGCTAAACTATATGCTTCATGAGTGAAGGGACTGTGTCTGTCCTGTTCATCAGTGTGCACGTGTCACCCAGCACAGGGCCTGCCACAGGGTGTATGCATAAACCTGCATAAGTGCTGTTGAAATATAGGCAGAGAATAGAGGCCTGCTCACAGATTGCCCGAGGACTCTGGACTGAGCAAATGGCTGGTGAAGATGCTGAACTATTAGGTCCCCCACACCCCTGATGAAGAAGCAGGTCTTAAAAATGAAAACACAAGATCTCTGCCACTCAGGCTTTGAGCAGTCCAACAGCTTCTCCCTCCAGGAAGGTGCAAGGAAGTCGGTCTCTTCTCCAGCCAACTTCAGAGACTTGGAAGGAGTTTGAAGGAGGAGAGAGTAGCCTGGCGTAGCTCCAGACCCTTTGTGTTCATCTTACGTTTAACTTACCTCTTCGTAGACTGTGCAGCCTCTCTCCTCATGAGGGAGAAAAACACCCCAGTGTCCACGGGAGGAAGAAACAGGACCAGAGAAGTGAGGGGACCTGCCAAAGGTCTTGTACTCAATAACAAGGGAAACTGGGATCTCAGCCCATATTCTGACCCCAAAGCCCATGTCCCACCCACAAAGCCAAATGGATCCCAAAAGGTAAGATTCACTTAAAACTTAACAATTGGCCATTGCCCATTTTTCCGGGCATTTCTTAGATGAGCCCAGAACTGCCAACATCTACCCATCCCTGGCTACAAATATATCTGCTCTGTGCATTAGGGAAAGGACTAGTGAGAGATCACCTAAGCCCATGGAGAAGATCTGCCAAGAAGACTAGAAAACCATCAGTTTACCGTGTAAGGAATCCAGGGCCTTGTTGGTACAAGGAGCGGTGTCCATTGCCATGGCCTGAGAAGCAGCTGTCTCTCCAGCCCTCTCATGCCACAGAATGCCAGACGCAGATCCAGAGTCCTCGTAAGAAACAGGAACATTTTTAAAAAGAAAAGAAAGGCCAATTGCTTGCCCTGTGCTCTCTTATTCCAGAAAAGCCATGAGGCACTTTTCAGAGGCACAGTCCCAAAGGCCAGTCCTAACCAGGGCTGTAGCCTGTGCCTACTGAACGGATCAGTCAAGGTGGCCCCCTGATTAACTGGTGAGAGCACGCATCCACACCACTCGGATGGAAGGTGCCGGCCACTGCAGTTGCTTCCATTTCTCAGCCAAGCAACTGCATTATGGCCCCATTTTCTGGGCTACATCGGATGAACAAACATTTATGGGGACACTCGCTGCATATCTGGCCCTGGACCAGACCCCTCCCATGTGGCAGGTCAGTTATCCTTGCAGCCCTGAGAAATGAGCAATTCTCTCATTTGACAGACAAGATAACCAACGCTCACAAGATGTTCAACAATCAACAAGATCCCTGGTTTTCTACGAACTCCGGGATGTCTGATTCTAGAAAGTGTCAATCTCAAGAGGTGGCTCATAAAGGGTGGCCCCTGGACCATAGCCTCATCATCACCTGGAACAGTGTTAGAAAGCAGATTCTCGGGCCTGCCCACCCTTGACCCCCTAGATTGGAAACTGAGGGTGGGCCTAGCAATTCAGGTTTTAACCTGCCCTCCAGGAGATTCAGATGCGCCGAAACTGGAGAACCGGGAGCCAGAGACTCCCAAGAGCACAAAAGCAGCTGCAGGTCCCCTAAAAGTCCTTTTCCCCATATGTGTTCCGAGGAACACTACTCTCTTGGAGACTGTTAATGGCTATTCCCCAATGAGGGGTTCTACTGTCAAAGAGTTTGAGAGTCCCTGGCTTAAAGTTGAAAGGGTTCTTTATCACGGGACTGCTGGAGTTGAACCTTGTGCATCTCAGAGAAAGTAGCCAGGTGGCGCTTCCCAAACTTCCTGGACTACGGAACCCTCCGTTCTCAGAACACCTATTATTACCTCCCAGGACCCCTGTGCTCCATGGACCCCAGCCTTGCAGAAGAAAAAGCCAAGAAATGGAGAAATTCAGGACGATAGCAGTAAACGTGGAAACCCACTCCAGATTCCACAAGACTGGCTCTCCCTCGGCTTCTGTTGACTGACAGCCTTTGGCAAGCTCAGTCGTCTGTAACCTAGGGGAGCACGGAGCTCACTCGGCCTTAGGGGAGCTGCAGGGTTGGGGTTATTAGGAGAAGAAAGCCCTGCCAGTGACCCTGCGGCCCCGGGTGAGTGATCCACCGCCAAAGCCCAGAGGCACCAGGGGGGACGTTACTGTGACTAGACGCTCCACAAGGGGGGCTGTTTCCAGCAGCCGTCAGTTACTCTAATAACTAGAATTCTTCGGGATGGAGAGACCGCAGGGACGAAGCTCATTCATTCCACAGATGTGGGAGTACTTACAGGGGGCGCCCCCATCCGGCTCCAGGGCTCTAGGACAACAAGATGACACCAATTCAACGTATTCAGGGGCAGGCAGGTTCTGGAAACATCTACCTGGTCTCAGAGTAGTAAATGCTCAATCCTCTCCCCGACACCCCGCCCCTGCCCCAGGTCTGGTGGTGTGAGTCTGCAGGAGTCCCAGGAAGGGTCTCTGACTGAGGTACCCCACAGGTTGCGGGGAGCACTTCTCATTTAGGTGAGGCGCTCAGGTGGAAATGAAAGGAGGGAGGGAGAGAAACGGAAAGGTGACATCGTTTCCTGGGGTCCACAGTTAGGGAGGGCTTCCTTGAGAGCCACGCTGTGGGAGTAGGTCAGACTGGTGGTCTCTGCCCATCTCAGAGGCAGGCTGAGCAGGGGACACCTTAGCACCGGCCGGTGAGGAGGATGTGAGGTGACATGAGGGCAGGAGGGAGGGACACGTGGGGCCAGAGGGCGCAGAGCACGAATGCCGGACCTGTGGTCCAGCCTGTGGGTCCCCACGTCCCTCCTGCCCTTGCCCCACCCCCAAGGCCTCTAGCAAAATCCCGTTAGAACATTCCAGCTTGGGGATCCCTGGGTGGCGCAGCGGTTTGGCGCCTGCCTTTGGCCCAGGGCGCGATCCTGGAGACCCGGGATCGAGTCCCACATCGGGCTCCCGGTGCATGGAGCCCGCTTTTCCCTCTGCCTGTGTCTCTGCCTCTCTCTCTCTCTCTCTGTGACTATCATAAATAAATAAAAATTAAAAAAAAAAAGAACATTCCAGCTTATCTCAGTTGTGCCTTGCAAAGGTCATCATCAACATTAGAATTCACGTGTGAGTGGGGGACAGCACGTTCTGGACAGTATGTCAGGGACCGTATGTCCTGGCCAACATTAGCTGGAGCAGGAGTTCTGGCCCCATCTTGGACAGGGAAGTGCTGGAGGGAGGAAGGAAGCCACGAACCATGAAGTTGAACTGGGAACCGAAAGCAGAAGGAACCCGGGATCCTGATGGCCTCGGAGCCACCACACCAGCCCTGGATCACCCACCTCCACGCTTCTATGTGACACAGAAATACACTCCTATCTCATTTCGTTTTTTAATCGTCAGGTACATGAGATATTTCTGAATGATTCTAATCATGTATTTTGCATATAAAATTAAAAACCTGAAGTGTAAATTAGAACTATTTCACTAAAAATGCTGACTAAAACAATGTATATGCTGTTCAAAAAATTTAATTGCTAAGAGTCAAAGAGCCGAGGCAGCTCTGGGGTATGCTCACGTTATGCCCTGCGGAACCCCACCTCAAAGTAAGAATGGGGCAACCCTGGCAAATCTGGAATGTCACTGCTCTGGCTTGCTAGGTCAACAGGTCAGAGATGCAAGCCCCTGCAAGGCTCCTCCCAGCCATTCCTGAGCCTCTGGGGATCACCTCCTTCTGCGCTAACACTAGGCCCCCCCGCCTCCCATGTGCCATCTGCCCTTCTTCTGCCCTGGCTTTTGTAACTGCTCCATGACCCCTGAAGCCACCAGCCCTGCCTGCCACGTGGGGAAAGCAACCCTCATCCATGCAAGCTGGGCACCAGGTGTTTCGTGTGACTATCTGGGCTGACAGATTTTGCCACCTGCTCTGGCCTCTGCAGATACACAGCATCCTCTGCAGGGCCAGAGCAAGAGGATGGTGAGCTCCTTCGAGCCCATCCATCCCATGTTAGGAAAGATGGAGTTTACAAAATGAAACACTTTATGCTACTGGCAAAGGATGCTGGAGGGAGCTAAAATCACTGGCCTAGGAAGCACTCCAAAATTAACAACAGGTTTTAGGTGAAGGATTTATTGGCTACCACAGGGCAATACTTTACTATTTTTAAATCATATTTCCCCCAAAACAGATGCTTAAAGTGAGCTGTGGGGATACTGGACTGTTCATTTACAAATTTCCAAAGACTTCCCCGGCTTGTCAAGACACCTGGCAGTACAGGCTCTTGCCTCCCCCAGGCTTCTGGTCAACCACTGACATTTGGGCTGAGAGACACATCCCCACTGGGTTGCTGCCCCTCATCCTGACCATGTGGCCCAAGAACTGGTCCGGGAGTCACAGTGCCTGACCCCTTAGCACTCCCTCTGGGACTGGACCACTGGACCAGCAGGATGCCTGTCAGCCACAGTGTGCACAGGAGCCACACTCACGCAGAGGCTGGGACGAGGCCTTCCAACCTGTTTACAACAACCGCTGCTCAGGAGAGGCTGAGGCCTGTTTCCCCAAAGGTCACAACTGACCCTGCCCCACATCTACAGCCAGGCTTTTTGAAGCTCTCTCGGCCTGCCTCCAAAATATCAGGAGCACGAGTGCTCTAAGAGCCTTGGCTTGCAAGCTCTCATCTTCCTGTCCAGATCGCCCCCTAAGAGACTGTTCTTTCTCTTACTTCCCACTTGACTCAAGAGACAGCTGTGGCTTTGATGCATTGTTACAGCTCAGTGAAGCTAAGATATATTTTGAGCCAATAAAGATGATTTCATGCTCTCTGGCCCAGGGTGTCTCCTTGGGTGGAAAAACATTTCAAAAAGACATAAGGCCACTTGTGTCTCCTCCCCAGGCCACAACTTCTCAGTAATTCCAAAGGCAAAGCTCTTCACACAAGGCCATTATAGACTGAGGCGGCCTCGGAATCCAGGGCTGATGGCCCCTTGCCCCAGCTTGGCACTGGGCAAACCATCCACACACCAAAAGCCCTTTCTCTGACATGGCACTGGCGGCAGCTCAGGCAAGGCCTTTGTCACCAAGGAAACCAAACACCATTCAGGAGCCAACGCATGATTCTCCCAAGGACACAGAAGCCCAGATGCTGAGGTGGCAAATGGCACAGCGGCCTCATGCTGGGAAACCACTGAACATTAGGCTCAAGCCAAATACAGCACAATTTTGTGAAAGTCTAAGATCATCAATGGCCTTCGAGAACTACTCGGATAATGAGAAAGTGATGATACTGTCTCCATGCACTGCTGGCTCTCCCCATACAGCTGTGAGGTCTGTAGCAAGGGAAGACAGGCTCTCAGGATGAGGCACAGAATGTTCTGGAGTCACCAAAAGTCTGAATTGTGCCAACTCCACTGTCCCTGGATGTGTGACCCCTTAGCCTGAGCTTCTCAGAGGCCACCACCTCACCCTCCTGAGTAGTGGGAAGGGTTAGAGACCCTAAGCCCAGCATAACTTCAGGTGGCTCTTCCCTTACTCACATGGACCCAGCAGTGGGAAGCCACCAGGAGAAGGGCTGGGGGAGTGCAAGCCTGCAAACACCAAAGGGCATGACAAACCCATTGGTCCCATTTGTCATCTACCCACAAGGAACAGAGACCCAGGCTGAAGACACTGGTAAAGAAGAAAAGACCGTCAGGAATACAAATGCGGCCAGATATAAAGCCCTCCCGAAAGGAGATATTTCCAAATTGCTCCTAATAGCTAAGCTGGTAGCAGCGGGCATTTTCCTGGCATGATCTTTCCATCCTATGAACCATGTTTCTGATTCTCTGGAGTTAATATTCGGTCCCGGTTTTGTTGGAAGAGTTCTAGCATTTTCCGCATGTCGTGGTCAGCCTCAATCACCTGGAAATTAAACACACGGGTCACAGGGCTGCACTTGACCTCAACATCATCCTCCCTTCACAGAGGGAAAGAGAGAAGGATGGAGGCAGGAGGCAGTGAGGAGCGGCAGAGAAGTCCAAGGTCACAGGCAGATACAAAGGAGGGTTAGAGCAGAACAGCGCCAGGTTCTAGGTCAATTCACATTCTCAACTACATTTCCACTTAAGAATCCGGGGCAGCCCGGGTGGCTCAGCAGTTTAGCGCCTGCCTTCAGCCCAAGGCGTGATCCTGGAGTCCCAGGATCAAGTCCCGCATCGGGCTCCCTGCATGGAGCCTGCTTCTCCCTCTGCCTGTGTCTCTGTCTCTGTGTCTCTCATGAATAAATTAAGAAAAAAAAAAAAAGAATCCACTACGGCTGTCCCTGCAGCCAGCCCATAAATGACTTTTCCCCCTTTTCCCCTTAATCATCTTAATATTCCCCTAATGAGGGGGAAAGATAGATTTTACTTCTTTAAAAATCCAGTACAGTAATATCTCACTTTCCAGCAACCTCATGGCCTGGAAGCACCATGAGTAGAAGTGTCTGAGCAATTCAAACAGATATCCCTCAGGCCACGCACAAAAGTTTGTGAGCAGCCCTCTCTCAGATCCCACGCTGGACACACGCTCCCAAAATGTCTCAGTATCCATTTGCGCATCTGAAGAAGTTCAGCAGCAGCAAATTGGGAAAGGCAGGAGGGACGGATGGAAATGACACACAGTTAGAGGTGGCGAGTATCAGCAGGAGAAAAGAGGGCTGCTACACGAAGCCAACATGGGAACTCAAAGACATGAGTGGTCTGGGGCAAACAGTCCTACACACCTCAGCACCTCCTAAGGGCGTCACTGTGTAACAGCCCAGACAGCAAGTGGTGTTCCTTCAGATGCCCTGGGTCACCGAGAAGAGGGGCAATGAGGCTCCATGCCTGCTAGCCACTGAAGAAGGGATGGTTGCATCAGAAAGACCACCATCCCAAGTGGTTAAAACCAAAACCCACATCTGGAGGCTTCACCCATCTGGAATACTCCTTCACTGACAATGCTGGATAAGTGAGATGTTACTGTGGCCATCAGTATAAGGACGTTGGGACAGGCCACCTTCTCTCAGGTCTGTCCAGCTGACTATGAGACTCATCCACAGTGAGGACCGGGAGAGAGAAAGGGCCCCTTCTACCCTCCCTGCTTCCTTATTCTAAATCCTCCAGCTCTGAAGGACCTTGCCCTTCCCCAGACTGCAGTGTGGCTGACATTCCCTGGGGCACTCCTCCTTCCAGAAAAGTCGCCAGCCCTGCCAGGGGGACTTACCAGAACAGGGGCTGCTACAGGGAAATGATTCCCTTTGATGAGCCACTCCTCATAGAGGTGGTGAATGGCATCCAGGTATTCCTGCCAGGGAACACACACACAGACACACATAGGCACACAGGCTGTCAAGAGCAGGGAGGGGAACAAACCTCTCCTCCGAGGATCTCAGGCAGGGGAGGGGGTTGACTGTTCACGACCACGGAGCAGTGGCTGGGACGAAGGAGTCTGCAACCATCATCCTGGCTCAGGTGGATAGCATTAAAAGCAGCCACTCCCTCCACCAGGCAGCCTGGGCATCGTGACAGTGAGAAGCTTCACTCCAGCCCCTACTCCATCCCTCTAGCACCACCCTGTACCACTGCTGCCTCGTCCACACCCTCCCACTGGGCTTATCACACTTCCTGCCACTTCGCCATCAGCAGGGCCACCGGTTCCTTCATGGTAGGATCCCTAGCCCTAGGCAGCCTCTGAACCCTCCCCTCTGTCCTTCCTTCGAAAAGGACTGCGGCCCTGACTGGCCTAGGGGACCTACTCCCACTGCTTCCACCCCACCAGACAACTTGTGACCTATGTGGGCCCCCTAGACCATGAAGATCAACTTCAGAAAGCACCACAATGGGGAACCCAGGGGGAAACAGGCCCAGACACAATCTAAGCCATCAGAGCCTCTGCACCAGGCAGGACTGGACGGCGCACACTTTCTCATGCACAGGCCAAGGTGCCCAGGCCACACACACAACCACCTCCCCAAGCAGTAATTTATAGCCAGCCCGGAAGCCCTCAGGAAAGCCTCACGGCCACTTTCTCATCCACCACTGAGTTCTCCCTTGGCAACGACAGATTTGTCCTGTAGGCCTTGTCAGAAATGTTAAGATAATGGCTTGGCTAATAACAGCTTGTAGGGACTCCGGACTTGTCATTTCTTCGGGACATCTGGGTCACTGCATAGAATGGCTGTGTCCTACCACAGCCCGGCCCAGCCCCGCTCTACTGTGCCCTTCCTCCAATCACTCCTACCTCCGGATTTCAAAGGAGCTACCTGGAAGGAGGCCTACACCTTCACAGCTGGTAGCAACCTTGCTGGTGCCTGGGGAAGACAAGGCTGGGTGGGCCTCAGGGTCAAGTCCTGCAGACTCAACAGGTCTTCAAGGGCTCCCAGTCCAGCCCATCCTGAGCTCAGACCCCCAAGACATCCCTGTAAATGCCTGCCCAGCTGCTGTCTGTGTACTCCCAGTGGCATTCACATGGGGCATTCAGTTCTGTACTGAAGAACTCCTAGGTGCCAAGCTCTGGGAAACATGCTGAGGATGCAGAAGCAATAAGATCTAATCTTAAAAAGCTCACAGTTTGGGCAGCCTGGGTGGCTCAGCGGTTTAGCGCCGCCTTCGGCCCGGGGTGTGATCCTGGAGTTCCGGGATCGAGTCCCATGTCGGGCTCCCTGCAAGGAGCCTGCTTCTCCCTCTGCCTGTGTCTCTGCCTCTCTCTCTCTCTCTCTCTCTCTCTCTGTGTCTCTCGTGAATGAATAAATAAAATTAAAAAAAAAAAAAAGCTCACAGTTTGATGAGGGATGGGGAACAAATGTCTAAACAGTTCCGGTATGCTTGTCCTTAGGGCTGTGATCACCGTGAGCCCAGAGGTTAAGGGAGCACAATGGAGGGAAGGTCAGGGAAGGCTTCCTGGAAAAGGTAACATCTGAGCTGAAGGCAAAAGAAATCACTACACAAAGGCACATTTGTGCAACTGCATAGTGAGTGTGAGTGTGAGCATAGCCACGACTGGTCTCTGTGGCCAGAACATGAAAGGCAGGGAATGGAGGGAGATAACGTCCATGAGGCAGGATCCGGGATGGCACGCTACCGGCGGGGACTTGACCCCAGACTGCAGCAAGACATCAAAGGGTCTGTGGCTGGGAAATTGCATGAGTGGCGTTCTGTACTGGAAGCTGCACCCAAGCAGCAAAGTGGAGGCCAGGTTTCGGAGGGAACATGGAGGGGTGAAGGAACAGGACAAGGAGAGCAGCCCAACAGTTACAAGAGTCCTGACCAGAGTCCCTGTGGCCCTGAGCCAGAACCCAGAAGGGCGAGGCACCGGGCAAGCACCGATGAGGACCGCCTCGAGCCCAGTACTACACTCAGCACGGGGGATGTGGCTGCCAGTGGGAGGGAACATTCTAGCTCTAGCGAGGCTCCAGAGCAGGACGCACAAGCAAGCAATCTTCAGGTGGTGGACAGGACAAGCCCTGGGGACACCTGGGTGGGGAGGGGGAGCAGGGATGCGTCTGTGCGTCTGGGACCCCAGGAACTGAGGCAGGTCTGGACTTCATGCAGGGTCTCCACCCACAGAGGAAATCAGAGTCTATGCTCAGTTCCTGTTTCTCTCTCGGCAACGGGCACAATGATCTCACGGAGGGAGGGGCCGGGCTGGGGTGGAGGTGGTTTCCCCGTCATCCCCGTCATTCTGCGGGCTCACGGGCACACTCACCAGGGGAATGACCGTCTCCTCTTCCCTGCATCTCATCTGTAACCTCCGGTAACAGGTCTCAGGAGCGGTCCGGAGATAAACTGCAATTTAAAAAAATAATATGTGGTTCTAATTACCCTGTTTGTGGCTTGGAAGTGGAGGCCGGGGAGAGGGGGAAGGTAGGCATGTGGGCCAGGCGTGCAGAGAACCATCTGCCAGAAGCTCTGAGCAGGAGACGCAGACCACAGCCAGCTCCCAGCCCGACCGCTGACCGGCTGTGGGGCCTCCAGTCATCTTGACCCTCATCCCAACTTCCGTTTTTCTTTCCATGTCACCAGCCACCCAGGATTGCTGAGAGGCTGAAGAGGCTCTGTATGTGCAAGAAGCTTAGCGCGGGTTCTGGCCCGTGGGTCTCAGTAAAGGTCCCGGCTCTGTCCCTCCTCCCCTCCTTGCACACTAAAAAACCCCCATTAAATCACAACAGACCCGGGAGGCACAAAGGACAGGGTGCTCCGCCAGGAGGGACCGGAAGCGCCCGATCCTGTCTGCCCTTGGGGAGAAGGTGAAAGAATCACCAGCGGTAAGGGCCCTGCCCGCACCCCTGCTGGCTGGCAGCCCCCCAAGCACCTCCTTCCGGCCCTGGGAGGGACGTCCGAGGGGTCCCTCACCTATCAAATCAACGGACACGTCGATGTTCTTCAGGATCCAATCAAACCATTCTGCCAGAACCACGTAGTCCACTTCAGGCATCTTCCCACTATAACGAGAATTGTTGGGGTTTTATTCATCAAAAGGATCTGTGGGTCCTTCTACGTAAAGGACATGGCACAGGGTACGTGGCACAGCCTCATCCATATGATACTGGACCCAGAACACCTCTGACCCTCTGCCGCCGGGGGACGGTTTACGGTCTAACGCAGCAAGTGTCACAGACCTGCTGATGGGAGAGCACTTACGGGATTTGACCTCCAAGCAGAGAAAGGGGCTCTGAAGCCTGTCCCCAGGGAACAGGGACAGTGCTCAGGTTGGCAGGTGGAGCAGCAAACCAGTTTCACCTCTAGAAATTTATTTTGTGGAAATAATCACAGGTGCCTGCTGTGGCACTGCCTAAAATAATGAAAAATGAAATCTTGGCACACTGATACAGCAGCAAACCGTGCCGCAACTGAATGGTGGTGTTGTAAAATGATACTTAATGACACAGAAAACACTCACAATGGAATGTTCAATGAGAACAGCAGGACATAAAATTGTGTGTAGTCTGACCCCACTGTATTTTCATGAGAATTCGTTCACACATTTTTTAAAAAAGACTGGAAGGAGGGCAGCCCAGGTGGCTCAGCGGTGATCCTGGAGACCCAGGATCGAGTCCCACGTCGGGCTCCCTGCATGGAGCCTGCTTCTCCCTCTGCCTGTGTCTCTGCCTCTCTCTCTCTGTCTCTGTGTGTGTGTGTGTGTGTGTCTCTCTAATGAATAAATAAAATCTTAAAAAAAAAAAAAGACTGGAAAGAAAAACAAAATGAATACAGTGCTTTTCTCTGAGCTGTGGGACTATAGGGGATTTTAGTGTTTTCTTTCTACCTTCCTGTATTTCCAAAATCGGTGACATATTAGTTCTCAAATCAAGGGTTGGGAGGTGGGGAAACAATTACATATTTAAAATGTTAACTGAAAAAGAAGGAACGAACGAACGAACGAATGAATGAACCAAGACAAGAGACTAAGAATGCAAGAGGCCAAAAAATAAAAAAATAAATTAAAAAAATAAATTAAAAAAAGAATGCAAGAGGCCTGGCATCTCTCCCCCCACCCACCACCCCCCGGCTCCTGCACCTTTCCCCTGCCCCAAAAGGAAACCAGTGGCAAAGAGCCAGAGGATGGGCAACCTGAGAACAGAGATCTGTCAAAGGCTGGGTGATCCTCAGAGGCCCAGGAGAAGTCTTCCTTTTAACACCTCACCCACCTTGGATACCATCTTGGATCCACTCAGAGTGGATCCACAGAATCTGGCAGGACCAGCTACGGGACAGAGGTCGTGCCTGGGCCCAGAGTACACAGGGGGCTTCTGGTTGCCTATCAATGGCTGGGGTGAGAGAAGAGCCCACTGGAAGGATGGTCTGGAGTTGGACTTCCACTTAGCAGGGAGGAGAGGTGCAGGGATGGGCATGGAGGGAGGCAAGAAGCTCAGACAGCTGGAGGGGAGCATCTCTGGGTGACTGAGGCCACAAGCAGCCCTGCCTGGGGTCCAAATGACAGGGCATGGCACAGACTGAAGAGGGACACCCAGCCCTGGTCCCTGAGATGGTCATGGTGCCCTCAAGAGAGACCAGCTGTGCTCAGGCTGAGCAGTAAGAAAATAAACAACAACAACAAATTAAAGAAAAGTACAGCGCCTGATAAAGAACAGCAGGGGCAGAGGGGCAGTTGTTGGCGTCCTAGAGGTCTTCAGGCATCGGACCTCGGCCAGGAGACCAGAGCAGACTAACATGTGAGGGTTCCCCAAAAGAGTAGAGGAGGGCAGTGGAGGGGACAACTCCCACAACATCCCAGAAGGGACCCAAGCCAATGAAATCCAAGAACTGAAGGTAACGAACGACATCACAACCAAAGGCTGGTACGGCGGGGGGACAGGTGGCTGCCCAGCCCCTAGTTCTTTCCTCTTACCTCCTTCAGAGTAGCCCATTATTTATTCAGGGTCTATCCACAGGCCTGCGGGTTCCAGGGAAACCTGACCCCACTCTAAGCTTCAGGGAAGGCCCAGCTGGCCTAAGAGAAATACTCTCGCCTCACCAAGCTGAGCCGATCAGGACAAGGCATCCCCTGGCCACAGGGCCCAGCCTGGACCAGTGAGACCCGAGGGAGGCTTGCAGGGGTTGATGGAAGCCACGCTTACTCCCACTCAGAGGAAGCCCCTGGCAAGACACCTACCCTCTGGCTGGCAGATGAGAGGCCTGATCCTGCCACAGCCATTTTGTCACCATGAGGGAGGCAGTCGTATTGAGGACACAAGACAGAGTAGGAAAACAGGGCCAGAGCCACTGAATGAAAGCGACCCTGAAGCCTGTCATTAAGACAGCCAGTAACGGGCACCCGGGCACCCGTGTGGCTCAGTTGGGTAAGCGTCTGCCTTCAGCTCAGGTCATGATCCTGGGGTGCTGGGATCGAGCCCCACCTCGGGCTCCCTGCTCGGCAGGGAGCCTGCCTCTCCCTCCCCTCCCTCTCCCCCTGCTTGTGCTCTGTCAAATAAATATATAATATCTTTTAAAAAAAAAACAGCCGTGGGATCCCTGGGTGGCGCAGCGGTTTGGCGCCTGCCTTTGGCCCAGGGCGCGATCCTGGAGACCCGGGATCGAATCCCACATCGGGCTTCCGGTGCATGGAGCCTGCTTCTCCCTCTGCCTGTGTCTCTGCCTCTCTCTCTCTCTCTGTGACTATCATAAATAAATAAAAATTAAAAAAAAAAATTTAAAAAAAAAAAAAAAAAAAAAAAAAAAACAGCCGTAACAACCTCGTTGTTGAGTTGGGTTTTGGTTAGTCGTAGCTAAGAGAAGCTGATTTTAGGAAACCAAACCACTCTCTTTACAGGTTTCCCTTCGCTTTTCTTCTGGAGAACAAAACTGACTCTGAAGGAATGAGGATTTCCCAAATGGAAGCTGCTAGTCAGCCCCTTCCCTTCTCCACTAAAACACACGCAGGGTGGCCTGGAGGCCCCCCGAACAGAGGAGCGACTCAGGGTGGCGGGCCAGTGGGCAGCGCGCAGGGGAGGGCCGCCTGCGGCGGGGGTCTCAAGAGTCCCTGAGGAGGGACAGGCAGCCTCAGACTGTACCCTAGAGGACTTCATCTGTGTCTGCAAGGGTCAAGGCACATCCTGCCAGATCCCATTGCTGGGAGAGTCCCCAAAGCTGCCATTGCCAAACTGAGTCACAGCACAGAACACGGGGAGCACAATGTCAACTAAGAACCCAAATGAGGGGCGCCCGGGTGGCTCAGTGGTGGAGCGTCTGCCTTGGGCTCCAGGCGTGAGCTCTGGGCAGCGTCTGCTTCTCCCTCTGCCGCTTCCCCTGTTTGTGCTCTCTCTCTCTGTCAAATAAATAAATAAAATCTTAAAAAAAAAAAAAAAAAAAAAAAAGGAAAAGAGAAGGAAAAAGAAAACTGAGGCCCAGAGTAGTGAAGCCCAACTCAGTCTGAGCAGGAACTGAAGCCTGGAGCTCCATGACCCCCGAAACCCGCATGACCATGACATCACTTGCCCTCCCTGGTCCGTCTGCAGAAGGGGCTGCTCTGGACACTGCAGCGCCTCTTTGGCCTCAGCTTGAGGAAAGGCACAGCTCTCAGGGTCATGACGTAGGCCTGAGCGTCTGGTCTAGGCCAGAGCAGGGGAGGCCAAGCCCCCAGGCCAGCCAGGGAGATGGGAGGACCTGCCTACTGTTCCAAACGCAGGGTCTTGATCAACGTCCACCTGCCCTATTGAGTCAGCGGTCATTTCCAGCTGGGCCCCACTCAATCCCCCTACTTCTGCTCTTAGGAAAAGGTGACCAGCAATCCTGTAAAGCCTTTGCATTCAATTACTCAGCTCAGGGGCTTGGGCCACACAATTGCCTGCCTGGCCGCTGGTTTAGCACTGCAAGGCCTTCTCACCACCTTCAGCTTTTCATTTCAGGGCAGTGCCCACGCCTCACAAGCGCCAGTCACTGAGGAGGCAATGTAACTGGAATCTTCCTCTTTAGCAATTACCATGCTGTTCTCACACCCATGTCCAGTGTAATTGCACTTATATTGTGCCCACCCCACACCTGCTGCTGTGGGGGGCCCAGAAGAGCCAGGTCTCTCCCTGGGAAAACTCCCCACTTGTTCGAGGCCCAAACGGCAAGGACACCTTCGAGAACTTTTGCTTTAGGGAGCTGCAGAATGCCAGTATGTGGCCTGCTGTACCTTCCACCCCTCCCTCCCCAGATTCCAAGCCAAGACTGGAGTGTTTCTCAACAGCTTTTGAGAAAGAGAAGAGGACCAACCCCAACACTGAGGGTCAGCAGCAACTTGCCCCCGCCCTGTGAAAGGGCCGTGTCCATCACGGTAGGAAGCCTTCTCCTTGAGCATCTGGGGGGGGGGGGAGACGTGAGCTCAGGCAGGAGCCGACACTCCACACGCGCTATCCTAGGGTCCCCAGCGCCCAGCTCAACTCCCCCTGGGAAACAGAACATCCTATTTTAGGCGTGTGCCAAGGATCCAGATAAACTCCGTTCTAGGACACATTTGATTTAGGCTCAAAATGACAGTCATCTGCATTTGGGGGGAGCAGAAACCTCTTAAAACACCTACTTTCTTGATAACACTTCACAGTTGCTGACCCACTGTGTCGAGGAAAGCTGGCGTTGTAAGGAGAGTGACCTCGAGGAGAGCCCACACTCCATACTACCTTGCACTTGTGGCTTCGTCAGCTCTGGCTAAAAACACACTACTGTGCCTCCACGCAGAGAACCCCTGGCCTATGACTGCACCTCTCCTGGCCTAGGAGTAAATCTGGGGACCCTTAAAACAAAGAAAACACAACAAAAAAACCCCAACAACTAAAACCTGAAGCAACAAATGCGAAATGAAGAAATAATGGGCAGTGCAGGCAATAGGAAGTCACGCATTACAGAACTTGCACCAGGTGGGCCAGCTGCCGCCAGGAAAGCCCGCAGGACTGGGCTCTTACTCTTCTTGACCCCAAGGAAGCCACAGGAACAAAACTCTCAGGGAAAAGGGCCTGGCATTTGGGCACAGAGCTCCTTGCCTCTGGCTGCTGGCTTCTCCTGAGGTCCTACTCCTCCAGGTGTGCTCCCCAACCAACAGGATGGCTGCCACCCAGAGCTCTTGTTAGAAATGTAGGTTCTCAGGCCCCACCCTGGCCTCAGCAAAGCAGCATGTGCGTGTTACCAAGAGACACAGTGATCTGTGGGAGGAGCCCACCATAAGGACAAGTGGAAAGAGACAGAGGCCTGGCTCCTCTAAGTCGGCGCCTTGGGGGCTCCAAGCCTCTCACCACCCCCTCATTCCTGCCGCCCCACACAGCAGAGCGCGGGGCAGCTCCCCCTGCTCACCCGCCTGCCGGGCCAGGAAGGGGCACTGGCCCCGGATCCCATCTCAGTCCCTGCTCTGCCAAAAGGTTCAACGGTGCCTACACTTCAGGGCTGCCTCAAGGGCTCACAGAGGAGTGTGAAGAACCAGACAATAAATGTGGCGCCTGGCCTGCCCCTCAACCACTTGAGCAAACACCTTTGTTTCCAGGGAATACAGATAACGGGTCCAGGTCACAGGGGAAGCACCTGCGCCCCCTTGAGTTCTCGGCACCTTCTGAACCTGGGGACTCTGAGACACTCGGCCAAGGAGGGGGTACTTCCCATGCCACACGCTGAGCAGGCTGTTTGCTAGAGACGCAGACACCAGAACACATTATAGAGCAGACTGCAAAGTCCACATACATTTCTAAGACAAGAGAGGAGACCTCGAAGCAGCTTCCGGTTTGTTAGCCGGCTTCTTCGGGCTCTAGGGGCTCGGAGGGCAGGGGAGAGGCAGCCACCTGCGGGACAATTCCTTGGCCTCTGGAGGACTACGCTGAACGGACTGAGGAGCACAGCCTCCCTCATCTCCCTGAAACTGAGGCAGCAGACGGCCGCCCCCCAGGCTGCCGCAGTGTTCCCAGCAGCCTCTGCAGTGCCCAAGGCCACCCATCAACTAGCAGCCTCTGGGCTGCACCAAGTGATACCAGAGACCAATCTTCAGGCTCCGACAAGGTCTGCAGGGGAATCCATGCTCTCCCGAGGCTGCAGGAACTTGAGCCAATTAGATCCCGAGAACAGAAACTTCCAGGGACACAGTAAACCTCTCCTGTGGTTCACTGCCCCACACAAATCCTAACTACAGATACCAAGCTAAGGCATAAATATGAAGTTAACAAGGCAGGAGAAGAGCTCTAAAAAGTTAAAAGCTATAGTATTTTTCCTACACTCCCCACAAGAGAGCCCAGGGCAAGGGACCTACGACCTCAACCATAGCCACGGATATCAGGACATGAGAACCACCCATCAGAAATGCTGCAATGAGGGGATCCCTGGGTGGCTCCGCGGTTTAGCACATGCTTTTGGCCCAGGGCATGATCCTGGGGTCCCGGGATCAGGTCCCGCATCGGGCTCCCTGCATGGAGCCTGCTTCTCCCTCTGCCTGTGTCTCTGCCTCTCTCTCCCTCTCTCTCTCTTGCTCTGTCTCTCATGAATAAATAAATAAAATCCTTTAAAAAAAATGCTGCAATGAAAGACTACAGACGTGAGTACCCAAAGCCCATGGACATCAGTTAAAACTGCCTCCTGAGAAAACAGAGACAAGTGGCTCCTGGGGAAATCTGCCAGGTGTTGGGCAGCCTGCAGGTAAGGGGTAGGGGGTTAGCTGGTGAATTTTGTGAAGAGCAGGGTAGACAGGACTTGCATAAGGGGCACAAACCCTAAACTAGGCAACTGTTGCATAAGATCTCCAGAGATAGACGACAGGAATTAGAGAAGGGGAGGGCTTAGGGAGGTTTAGGAACTTGCCCATGCTCACAAAGACAGCAAATTCCAAAGCCAGGATGGGACCCAGGTTCTCCGAACTTGACACCTCACTCTCCCCGCTGGGCCTCTGGTCATTATATTCCCAGTTACCCTCTTCAAAGAGAGCCAGTGGCGGCCACAAAGAAGTGGCCAAGCTGATGGCAATTACAAGACAGAGAGTCTCGCTAGGTGAAGGGCATAGAAGTCCCACCCCGCTGCCCATGGTCCACTCTTCGGCCTACACTTTCATCAGAGCAATAAGCAAACACCGGTGAGGCTCCTTTGTTCTTTCTCGTCTCTCCTCTGCCTGTCTTCCCTCTGGCAGAGACAATGATGAGCAGGGAGCAAAGGAGAGTGAAGCGCTGGGTAAACCTGTGGTGGACACCTCGGCCCCACAGGTGAATCTCAGGCAGCTGGGGGAAGATGGGGCTCTAGCATCAGGACCACTCCTGCTGGAAGCTGGGAGGACAAAGCTACAGTCAGAACCTGCCCTGGCCGTTGTCCTGACCCCATGGCATTAGTCTAATGCTCCGAATGGATGGGAGCAGAGGCTCTCGTTTTGGGGCCACACAGGCTAATAGGCATGATCCACGGCAGCTCAGGACCAATGCGAGAAGCCTTTATAGGGGCCCCCTCGAAGGAAAGGGTGTGAAACAGCTGGGGCCAGAGCCTGGGGAACAGGTCTGGCTGGAGACCCAAGAGCGGTCACACATCCCATCGCCCACCCAGCAACAGCTAACCATATGGCCCAGGTGCGGCCCCATGCTGGGTTCACGCTAGGCAAGTACAGCTGACATGCCCCCTGTCCTCGAAGAGCTTATGGTTCAGCTGGGGGTGTGGGGGGAGACACAACAGACAATTGAACAAATAAACATAAACCAAGTTGAACCACATGTAACTGCCATTCTTGTAGGTCAAAATTGGTCAAATGTTAATAATTTCATATGGTTCAACCTACTCAAAAGTTGTCTTATATACCATGAAGAAAAACAACAGAAAGAAGTAATTAAAAATGAGAAAGAGGGGCACCTAGGTGGTTCAGCCAGCTAGGCATCTGCCTGTGGTCCCAGGGTCCTGGGATTGAGCCCCACACTGGGCTCCTACTCGGCCGAGAAGTCGGCCTCTCCCTCTCCAAATGCCTCTCTTCTTTTTTTTAAAAAATTTTATTTATTTATTCATGAGAGACACAGGCAGAGGGAGAAGCAGGTTCCATGTAGGGAGCCCGACGTGGGACTCGATCCCGGGTCTCTAGGATCACACCCTGGGCCAAAGGCAGGCGCTAAACTGCTGAGCCACCCGGGCTGCCCTCTGCCTGCCTTCCTGCTCATGCTCTCTCACTCGCTCTCTCTCAAATAAAAAAATTAAATAATTTTTTTTTTAAATGGGAAAGAGGTCCAACCCATCTAGCCAGTGTGGCTGGGGAGGGCTGGAAGAGGCAACACTCAGGACAGATGAGAAGGAGCAGGGAGCCAGCATGTAGAGAGTGGAAGATGGATGTCAGGACAAACCTGACATCAGGACCCGTCTGTGAGGGAGCGACAGCAGCACCCCAAGCTCAGGGCAGGAAGAAGCAGTAACGCAGAGGTTGGCAAGGAGAGGGCGACCAGGCACCCAGCTACCAAGGAGAGAGGGGTGTGGAAGGAGTCGAAGCTTCAAATAGCATCCTGTAGCCCATCTCCCCAAGACCCCTAAAATCAGCAGTCAACTGAGCACAGAAATCAGGAGGGTCCCAAGCTTCTGACACCTCAGCACTGAGGGCCACCAGAAGTCCCCTAACTATGTCTGTATAAGAGTCCACTCCCATGAAGGCAGAGGACAGTTTGGAGTGAAATTATAACAAACGCTGTGCTTAACGTCCTAGACTGAATGCTCTGTTGCTCTAGGTCTTCACCCAGCCCCACATCCCACTTTCCCATGTCACCCACATGGGCCCTCCCAACCTGGCAGACTGGGGTCGGCTAGCGTGACCTGCTTTGGCCAGTGGGACGTTAGCATATGTGAAGCTGAGGCCTGAAAAGCACTCATGCATTTCTGCTGGTGCCTTTTGCTCTCCATCGTCACCATGAGAAGTGTCCAGTCTAGCTTGCTGGTCCCATAAGGAGGATGAGCAGCAAGGAGAGAGGAGTCACCCCGGTCACCCTTGCCAGAGCCATCCTAGACCAGACAACCCCCAGACATATCACTGGGCCCAGCTGCCAAGGTCGGCAGAGTCATCTGGCCAAACGCCCTAGATGCCTGAGCAATCAATGCAGAAAGCTGTCTGCCACCGAGGTCCAGGGGCTGGCTGTTACAGAGCATTACTGTGGCAGGAGCTAACAGATACAACCCAGTAGGTACTCAATATCTGTCACATGAATCCATACGTTCCAGTTTAATTTCTACAAAATTAATGATTTTATAAATAATCAATGGTGTGAACTACGGTACCTTCTATATAGGTTTTCTACAAAAATATATCTTGCGCTGTGAATCGACCGCTCCATCAACCGTACAGGTGATGTCTAAAAGAAAACAAAGTGATTCACCGACTCAGGTCAGGAAGGCTTGAAGAATGCGTGTTGCTCCCCCTGCCTCTGGTCTCTGCCAAATACAAGATTAGAGAAGCCGTGGGAGTGAGGCAGACACCAAAGCAGAAGTGTGGGTCTGACACGGGCCTCGCCTGCACTGTGCCCTCAGTCCAGGACCCTCCCCACACCCTGAAGTTCAGGGGCCAGTGCGACAAGGCAGGGACTGATGGGTTTAGCATCCGCAGCCTTTCACGGGAGAGGTGAGGCTCAACTGGCTTGTCGACTTGGGGAAGTGCTGGAAAAACTGCCAAGGGCTGTCCAGCAGAGTGTCGTCAGGTGAAAAGTGTGGTGATTATGGAGCCACACAGTGTGCATCTGCTTAAGCAGACGGATCTATATGTCGGAGGTAGGGCCCCAAGAGGGCTGGGATGTGGGTGACATTCCGGGGGACTCTGCAAATCAGCGACCGAGGGCCCGCAAAGATGTGAGACCTTGGTGCCTCCTCACAGGGCTGGCTGAGGATCACTGCAGCCTTCTGGAAACTGGGAAGGACTGTGCCCAACTTGGCAAACCCTGCTCTCACTCAGCCTGGCCCACAGCACCCATGGGACCTGGACCAGCAAATCACAGGCACGTTCAAAGCTATAACCCAGGAATTTCCTGGCTCTCTCTCTCCTTGTGTTTATCTGTCATCTTCCTTTCTGTTTTTTCCATCGTCTCCTTATCTATGACTCTCTACTGCCCATCTACTAGCTCCCCGCTCAGCCATCTCTCCTTCCACTCCTCTTTCCTTGTCTGTCCATCTCTTTCTCTCCATCCTTCATGTTAGATTTCCTTAAATAGATAAAAACATATACGTCCTCTTATATTCAGACCTTAGATACAATTTAGATTTGCAACTGAGTGCCTGCTCAGGAGAAGCAGGGTGGGCAAAGGCGAAAAGTGCCAACCTCAGAGGCTCTGATCTGTATCATGGAGACAGATATTTGGGGAGAAAGAAATTCATATGGATCTGCTCCTATCTTTCCATTTTTAAAAGATGCAGATTTAGGGGCACCTGGATGGCTCAGTTGGTTAAGCATCTGCCTCGGCTCAGGTTATGATCCCAGGGTCCTGGGGTCTCCCTCTCCCTCTGCCTGCCACTCCCCCTGCTTATGCTCTGTCAAATAAACAAATAAAATCTTTAAAAAAAATAAAAAGATGGGATCCCTGGGTGGCGCAGCGGTTTGGCGCCTGCCTTTGGCCCAGGGCGCGATCCTGGAGACCCGGGATCGAATCCCATGTCGGGCTCCCAGTGCATGGAGCCTGCTTCTCCCTCTGCCTATGTCTCTGCCTCTCTCTCTCTCTCTGTGTGTGACTATCATAAATAAATAAAAGAATTAAAAAAATAAAAAATAAATAAATAAATAAATAAAAAGATGCAGATTTGTAGAACGATAGCTACAGTCACAACCCCCCAGCCCTGGATCAAACCATCCAGCAGAGTGGGCGTGGCAACATCACTGGCCATAGGGATCTCCCGTCTCCTTCATGGAGAGCACCCAAAGCGGGCCTTTTGGGCTGGGCTTCCAATGCTGAACCAGAGGAGCCAATGCAGCTCTCCTCAGCCAGTCTCTCTGCTAAGAGACTCTGCTCCCATTCCCAGGCCTGTTGATGGAAGGGGCCGAGGCAACAGGTCTGTGCCCTGTGATCTGCCCCAACACCTGACTGGCACAGGGCTAGGCACAGGACCCAAGCTGAGCCAATCAAATTCTTTCACCCAATAATATGAACCAAGAGCCAGACCTCATGAAGGTTAGATCAGTGGTTCTCAACATGCAAACAAACAAAAGCATGCGTTAAAATCACCTGGAGAGCTTGATAAAACACAGATTGCTGGGCCTCATCTCCAGAATTTCTGGTGCACCAGGTCTGGGATGGGGCCCGAAAATGTACATTTCTAACAAGTTTCTGGGTGCTCCTGCTGCTCCAGATCCAGGCACACTTGGAGAAGAACTGAGGTAAATAACGTTGAGCGCAGGAGTGGTCAGGTTGTGAAGACTCAAGCTCACAGTGGCACACCTAGCTTAGGTTGCCGGGTGGAGGCGCTGGAGGCCGGACCTCGGAGAGTGCAGGAACAGGAGCCCTTGGCCCCAGACACACAGGAGGCTGAGCAGCTCCAGGTCTCTCGCAGCTTCCTCCTGAGGTCTCCTTTCCTGGCTACCATATACCCCCCACATGAAGAACGCTTTCAGAAGGCTGAAGCCAAGCATCTGAAATGTACCTGAGGACGAGTATGGTGGTCCAGCATGGTGAGCTGCACGTATGTCTGCAGTGTGAGGCCCCAGCGACAGGCATCACGGTACATCAGACCCTGCACAGGGGAAAATGCAGCATGTTACCTCAAAGAGCTCTAGCTGTAGGACTCTGGTCTCTTCAGTCACGGCCATCTCGTGACAACCCAATGGGGTTGCAGTGAGGTGAGGGATGAACCCAACGTGGTCACAGGGCTCTCAGGACAGTGGACAGGCACCAGGGCAATGACAGGACAACTAAGTAATGGCCATGAGAGGAGCCTCTATGAAGTCCTCAGGGAACACTCCATGAGTCAGGGTTTACAGGGCTCCCTGAAGTCACTTCTCCAGCCAGCAAAGTGAGCCTGTTAAACCTCAGTCAGCTCTTGTCACTCCTCTACTCAGAACTTTCCAAGGACTTCCTGCTACATTCAGAACAAAATCCAAAGCCCTTACTAAGGCTCACAGGGCCCTAGAAATCACTGCCACTTTCTCTTGTCTAGTACCCTCCTCCCTCTGACTCAATGTGCTTCCAATCACGTGAGCCTCCTGAGTGTTCCCCCAAACACCCAAGCATGAGGGCCTTTGCATTTGCTGTGCCTTCTAACCACTCTTGCTCCAGATACCTGCACTGCTCCCTCCATCCCGATGTTTTAAGTCTGTGCTCCGATGTCACCTTAGCAGAGATGCCTTCTCCAACTATCCTATCCAAAATAGCAGGCCCGTGCCCATCATTCTCTCTTGCCTGTACATAAAAAGCAGTCCATGTTCCATATTCCACTTGCTAATAATCTTAAGTTCTGCCCTTTTCAGCATTTTTGCTTTTTCTTTTATTCCCCTCTCAATGCTAATGAATGAAATTCTAGTGCTCTGCCTAGAAAACTGTGGATTCCTACCTGCAGGTGAAAGAAAATCTGAGACAGTTAGGAGAAACCCTCCTTCTTGTCTGAAGTCTGCACGCGCGTGCGCACGCACACACACACACGCACTTTCCTGCACCAGCAAGCTGATTCGGATAAAGTGATGAATTAAGACTTCCTAAAACTATCAAACTCGCCCTTCTGTCCAGAGTGAAAATATGTGTCAAGATATCTAATTCTTTAATATTCTGTGTTATAAAACTGTCATTGGAAATGCTCTTGTGATGGGATCCCTGGGTGGTGCAGCGGTTTGGCGCCTGCCTTTGGCCCAGGGCGCGATCCTGGAGACCCGGGATCGAGTCCCACATCGGGCTCCCGGTGCATGGAGCCTGCTTCTCCGTCTGCCTATGTCTCTGCCTCTCTCTCTCTCTCTCTATGTGACTATCATAAGTAAATAAAATTTTTTTAAAAAATTAAAAAAAAAAAGGAAATGCTCTTGTGAGACACCCGGGTGGCTCAGCAGTTGAGCACCTGCCTTCGGCTCAGGGTGTGATCCCGGAGTCCCGGCATTGAGTCCCACGTCGGGCTCCCTGCATGGAGCCTACTTTTCCCTCTGCCTGTGTCTCTACCTCTCTCTCTGTCTCTCATGAATAAATAAATAAAATCTTTTAAAAAAAAAGAAAGAAAAAGCTCTTTGTATCATGGAGCCTCAAACTCCTGAGACTGGGACTGTGTCCTGTGAAATGTCATCTCTGAGCCCTAAGGTCTATGACCCAATTGTCTGACCTAATAATCCAGTCCTGGTTCCCAGAGAATATGAGTGTTTCTGAGGCTTCTTTGTTATGTCCAAAGAGAATGACTGGCATTCCATCGTCGTCTCCCACATGCATGGAGGGGCAACTCTTTTTATGTCTCTAAGATTCTTTATTCAAAGACTCGAAGAGTCTTTGCCTTAAACAATATCCTTTTGCCTGCATTAGATGTTTTTGTAGCTCCTATCACCACCCACCAAGTCATACAGCAAACTGTCTTCTGCCTTCTTGCACTAGAATATTAGGCCAAGAGAGCAGGAGCTTGGAGGTGCTCGCTGCCCTAGTGCCTAGGACAGTGTCCGGCACATAGGAGGAATGCAGTAAATATAGGTAGAATGAATGAATGAACGAACGAATGAACGGACGCCTACTAAGTGCTTCACAGAATGCTATGTTCTAGCAAACTACAGTTACCAAGTTAGACACAGTCCCTGCCTCTAGTGGAACTCAGAGTCTAAAGAGCCACACAAGGAGATGTCATTGGTGTTGCTGGAAACGAGGAGATGATAGCACAAGCTCCTTGGTCCGTGGGTCAGACCGTGATCTGTCATTTGCCAATGGTATCTCCTCAGGCAACTTATTTTAGCCACAGTTCTCTCACCTGAAAACTAAAACTAATCATCCCTCCGTCACAGGCAGGAGCCCAGAAGCAGCATCCGTTTCTTCAGCTCCCTCTTAGCGGACTCAAACCCCACCCCTCTCTTTCAAGCAGCCAGAGCAGAGCATTCTCCCTGGGGCAGGAAGGGGAAGGGGTGCAAGCACAGCATAGCCCCTGCTTGCTAGGTCCACCCAGACTAGGCTGGTCCACCTGCCTCCAGCGTGAGGCAGATTCAGCCCCAGGACATTGCCAAGTGCTAACCCAGATCAGAGGTTTGCCAAGGAAGCTGGTTACTCAGAGACGGGTCCTGGGGCTGGGCCCGGAGAGACCTCAGTTCCAACAGTTTCTTCTAGGAGAGGGCAGGGGTGGAATGAGCAGCAGGAAATGGACACCCCTGGTAGCCAAGGCTGACCACTGGGATAGGTCTGGGACAGTGGACCCTGTGATGTGCAAACGCCCAGCCAGGCCTCAGAGACCGCTGACCTCAGAACACAAATACGCTGTCATGTTCCATCTGTCCCCTCCCTCTTCTCCTCCAGGCCAGCTTCGAGCCAGCAAAGGCCTGTGCAGGGAGGGGGCAGGCTCAGGCACCAGCACCACCATTCCCAGCACTCAGGTGGAAGCAGGTAGTTCACGCAAGAAACAACACACTCACCAGAAGGCTATGGCCACGGACATTTCTCCACTTGGGCACCGGTTCCTGTAACACCTGCAAGAAAAGAAAACAACAGAGCTCTGCCATTCCTCAGGACACGGGCTCCCAGGGTGGACCGAGAGAGCCAGGCAACCATCTCTGTGAAGCCACAACTCCACCAGAGTGGCTTTCTCACGTGACTTTCCAAAGTGACCTGAGGACACTGTCCTTTCCTGAGTGCAAGTCTACACATGCCGCCCTTCCAGCTGCCTTGGCAGCTCCCTCCCCTCCCTGAGGGCAAGGCAGTTCATTCGATCTCTCCTCCATGTGCTCTATCCCAGCCCGTACTGTGCCCATGTCAGGCTGGCCAGACAGGGGACAGAAGCCAAGAGGGAAGCTACTGGCAGCACTTCCAGCTGTGGCCTGAAGCCCAGCTGCCCTGCTGGGGGCTCTCCTGTGACCTCAGCAATTTGCAACACCCCCCTCCACTTCCTCCCTTGGGTCTCTGCATTGGGCATGCAGACAGTAAGAGTCAGGTTTCATTAGTTCACTTCCTCAACTGTGCCAGAGCCTCTCTAGGGGTATAGGTACATGCTAGAAAGGATTTAAATGGGGTTCTTGCGGCCAAGATTTTGAGAGTAGCTGGATCCATCCAGGGACCTGAAAGGGCATGTAAGCAGGTTCTATAGGTCACTAAAGACCAAAGGAAAGCAATGTATGGGACCCAGGAAGAGTAACTCCCCCCACCCTTCTACTCCCCTGACCAGAGGCTGGTCACAGGTGGCCCTGACCTGTGCTCCATCTATGGCTCTACCATCCAACACTTATTGAGGACTCACTGTGCTAAGTGCCATGCTAGGCAAGAGCAAACCCACCTCGGTCCCTGTTTTTTTTTTTTTTTTTTAAGATTTATTTATTTATGAGAGACACAGAGAGAGAGGGGCAGAGACATAGGCAGAGGCAGGGAGCCCAGTGCGGGATTCAGTCCTGGATCCTGGGATCACGCCCTGAGCTGAGGGCAGATGCCCAACCTCTGAACCACCCAGGTGTCCCTCAGTCCCTGCTTTTATGAAATTTTAAACTTGGGGCACCTTGGGGTGCCTGGGCAGTTCAGTGGGTTGAGCGTCCTACTCTTGGTTTCAGCTCACATCATGATCTCGCGGTTGGGAGATGGAGCCCCACGTGGGCTGCGCACTCAGCAAGAAATCTACTTGAGATTCTCTCTCTCCCTCCCTCTCTGCCCCTCCCCCTACTCAGGCACACTCACTCGTGCTAAGATAAATAAATCTTAAAAAAAACAAAAAAACGTACTGTGAGAAGCAGACCTTAATCAAATCATCACAGAAATCACATATTTTCAAAGCCCTGAGAAGTAGTATGAAACAAGGGTATAGAAGGACCAGAAGAATCTACACCAAGAAGGGTAACCTAGCTGGGGAGGTCAAGAGCAATGAGCTGAGATCCAAAGGTTAAGTGAGGTCTTCCTAAAGCCATCGAAGTTCTTTACGCTACAGAGGTGAGGTCCCCAGAGCCAGTGAGCCCAGGCTGGGATCTGGCTCCACCACATGCTAGCAGTGTGACACTGGCCATTCATTTACCTCACTGAGCCTGTTTCCTGCTCTGCTACCGAGGGAATAACTGTACCTACCTCATAGAGACTACTCTCAAAAGACTGCAAAGCCAATTAGACGGTAGAATGAAGCCTTAACACAGTGCCCAGTATATAGTTATCCTCGTTAGATGCGGACTCTTGTTATTATTTCTGTTGTTGTTCCCTGGCTCCAAGGTCTTAGCTGAGAACATAAGTGCTCCTCAAATGCCATGCAGAGTTACACTACTCAGGACAGGCATGTCCGGAGTCCCTAAGACCCCTGCCTCCCCAGGTGTGATGACCCACTAGGAGGATGCACAGGACACAGCACATAGTGGTATTCACAGCTAAGATTTGTACGGGGAGAGGATACAAAACAAAATTGGCAAAGAGAAAAGAGTGGATGGAAAAAAGTCTGCAGGGAGACCACGCACAAGTTTCCAAGGGGCCTCTTGCAGGGGAGTCACACAGGAAGCAGTTAACTCCCCCAGCAGCAAGCTGAGACACCACGTGTGAGGTCTTGTCTACCAGGGAAGCTGGCCTAAGCCCAGCAGTTCAGGGATTTTATCAGAGTCCACGCATGTAGGCAGGCTCTGGCCGGCACATGCAAAAATTCCAGGCTCCCAGAAAGAAAGCAGGTGTCCGGGATAAACCATATGGTTTGCACAAGCAGTTTAGGCACAGAGAGCCATTTCTATCAGTTAGGAAACGATGGAACGCTCCCAAAATCTAAGTTCCCACATGCCAGCCAAGGGCCAACATTGCACATGAGCCTGTCTGAGGACAGTGGTCTTGGGCCTGCAAACTCTTTTCTGTACAAACAAGATGAGGGCTACAGAATGTTTATTCTTTTTATCAAACCATAGGCATATATTTTTTAAAGGATTTATTTATTTATCTGAGAGAGAGAGAGAGAGAGAGAGAGAGAGAGAGAGAGAGAGAGAAAGGAGGAGGGGCAAAGGGAGAGAGACGAGCTGACTCCAGGCTGAGCAAGGAGCCCATGTGGGGCTCGATCCCAGGACCCTCAGATCATGACCTGAGCCAAAATCAAGAGTCGGATGCTTAACCGACTGAGCCACTCAAGTGCCCCTCAGACCATATATATTTTTAATAGAAGTAAAAAGCAGAGAAGGGAAAGAAGGAAAGAAAACACCTCTAAATGTATGAAAATTGTAAGATCTACAGTAACAAAAAAGAGCCAAAATTGAAAAAAAAAAATGACACCATTAAACTAAAATCTACCAAGAAGAAGAGTCAGGGTCTTAGTGTAGAAGCACTTCTCCAAAATCTACGAGGTTATTCTGACTGACTGGGCTATAAATAAACTAGAGATTACGTTAATTGGCTACCCATGCTAACATTCCCCAGCCTGGACACAGATACGTCGGATTAACACTGCAACATTCCAGCCACTCTTACCAGCCTGACTTCCTTTCCACAGTAGACCCCTCCTAAGCCGACAGGAAGCCTATGCCCACAGTGTCCAACACAGGGGCTATGAGCCACGTGTAGCTATTGCAAACTTCAAATGTGACCAGGCCAAATTGAGATACACCATACGTCTAAAATACATTCCAGATTTCAAAAACTTGGTGTGAAAAATAGAATACAAAGTAGCTCATTGAGGGACACCTGGGTGGTTCGGCAGTTGAGCACCTGCCTTTGGCTCAGGTCACGATCCTGGGATTTTTGGATCAAGTCCTGCATCAGGCTCTCCACGGGGAGGCTGCTTCTCCCCCTGCCTGTGTCTCTGCCTATCTCTGTGTGTCTCTCATGAATAAATACATAACACCTTTTTAAAAACAGCTCATTGGGAACCCTGGGTGGTGCAGCGGTTTAGCGCCTGCCTTTGGCCCAGGGCACGATCCTGGAGACCTGGGATCGGGTCCCACGTCGGGCTCCTGGTGCATGGAGCCTACTTCTCCCTCTGCCTGTGTCTCTGCCTCTCTCTCTCTCTCTCTCTGTGTGGCTATCATGAATAAATAAAAATCTTAAAAAAATAAAAAAATAAAAAAAATAAAAACAGCTCATTGATGATTTTTATACAGATACATGCTGACATGATAACATTTAGAATATGTTGTATCAAATTAAATATTCTTTTGGGATTTGGGTTTTTTTTAGTAAAACTATTAGGAATTGTATATTACCTATGTGGCTTGCATTATATTTCTGAGATACAGCTGCTCTACACCCTCTATAAGTCACTTCCATCCAGCTTTTCCAGGTTGTCTTGAACCCAGTGTAGAGGCCATACCTCAATGTCTGTTGTGTTGGAGAAGAACTCCAGGCACGTCGTCTTCCCGCTTGCAATATTGCCCTCAACACAGATCTAACAAAAGATAAATGCACATTAGAATAAAAAATTAAGCACTGAGGGGAGTATCAGGGAAGAATTTCTAGGGAAGGGCTCAGGTGAAACAGCATAAATGATTCAGTTCAAGTCTTCAATGTGCACACAAAATTTCCCCCATGGGAAATTTCCAAGGTCCCACCATGAGCAGTGGGAATCACAAACTGATTCCCACTCCTGGTGGCTGGCTCCAGGCCCACTACGGATGGCCACCAAGCCACCGCCCGCCTAAAATCCCTTCCTACCGTACACAGTTTGCTGTGCCCACCATAGCTCTGCCCTTCCCTAGCTCAACCCCTCAGACAGATTTTAGGCCCAAGTGTCCTGCCTCCTTAACCAGAGTACCTATGCGTTATGTGGTACCTAACTCACTGCTTTACACAGGAAAACATGGACTGCAAAGTAATCGGGCAGGAGAGGGCTTGGTTGAGCACCTTGCTTCAGGCCAGGCCATAAGACGGGTAACGTAGACCATTACAACACTTGACCGTGACAGCTAAGCAGTGAGTCCTAACATTTTCACAGAAGAGAAGAATGAGGCTTGTAGAAAGGACTTAAGCAGAAAGGACAGCTTGAACCCACACTGCTCACACTAACTGAGAGAGAGGGCTCATAGCCATCAGGGCACAGTGACCTATAAACCCAGGCGGGAGGGGCACCTGGGTGGCTCAGCGGTTGAGTATCTGCCTTTGGTTCAGGTCATGATCCCAGGATCCTGGGATCTACTCCCGCATCAGGCTCCCCATGAGGAAACTGCTTCTCCCTCTGCCTGTGTCTCTGCATGAATAAGTTAATAATATCTTAAAAAAAAAAAAAAAAAACAGACTGGAGGAAGGCAGAGAAACATGGGCCATGTAGATGGCTTGCCCAAGTCAGAGGGCTTGGCCAAGGAAAGAGATGGAAATGCACATAGGTCTGTTAGACCCTTTTCATGACCCCAGGGAAGCCTGTCATCCCCTACATAACCCACGCGGGGTCACAGCGGGCTGTCTCACCTTGCTCCCCCCACTATAAACTTTGCCAGTCACCTGTGAATGTTCCCTCCCACCTCGATGCTAACAGGATGCTAACAGGTATCTGGGAGACCACACATTCCCACTTCTACAGATGCCAGCCCCCCTCCGGGTCCGGGCCCCCAGCTCACTCCCTCAGAACAAGAAATGGCAGAAGGAACCTAACAGACACACAAAACGTAGATCCCATCAGGGCCCTAATGTATTTGTTGTCTTATTGCTGTTCTTTAAGGGAAAGGACTTTTTCTCTTCCTAGAAAACGTAGAAGAGCTCAAGTTAGACATTGTTCTGCAGAGACTTGGTTCCTTTCCCGTTCACTGCAGGGAACAGAGTGATTAGAGGAGACCGTCATCCAGAACTTCCTGTTCCTATTCTGTGGTGGTGACTGACTTCCCGTTGCAGCTCAGCACAGATAGTCGACTTCTGTCCCATGGGACGTCCTCTGGGCACCTCAGTTCGTCAGCTCCCAGCCCCCACATACGGCTCCTCTTCCTGTTCCAGTCCTCAGGAGAGGCTGCGTCATCCACCCCTCAACACCCCGGGGTGCCTCCGGCCCTCACCCAGCAACTTCTCCAGGCCCTGCTTCCCAATCATCTGCATAAACTGGCCTGTCTCCCTAGCCCCCAGTTAAAGCCTCTACCCTACACGGCTGGAGCAGCCTCCCATTGGCCTCTACGCCTTCCAGTCTGGCCCAGCAGTACCTCTCAACCCCACCCATGGTCCACCACCATCTCTTCTTTTTTTTTTTTTTAAGATTATTTATTTATTCATGAGAGATAGAGAGAGGCAGACATGTAGGCCAAGGGAGAAGCAGGCTTCCTGTGGGAAGCCTGATGGGGGACTCGATCCCAGGACCCCAAGATTACAACCTGAGCCAAAGGCAGACAGACACTCAACCACTGAGCCATCCAGGCATCCCTCACCACCATCTCTTCCTGAGAGGCAAACCAGATCACATCCGGTCAAGTCTTTTAGGGGCCCTAGGTATTGGGAACCTGTCTCCAGTCCCTCCTCGCCAGCTCTCTGGGGACTGACTGGAGTCTCGGGCCTGCAGGTTCTCTTCCTTCTATGACTCACACTTGCAACTTCCTCTGCTCCAACACTCCTGCCTCCCCTTTTGCTTCATTTCCCAGGATGCTTCAAGGCTCCCCCAGGCTCCCCTCAGTCCCTGTCCTCTGGAAGCCCTGCTCCCTCCTCACAGCCCCCAGAATCACTGCTATTCTAGAACTACCAGGGTCCTATTGATTGCCTTGCTCCCCATCAGACCAGGCACTCACTAATGACAGGGGCTGTTTGGTCCCCAGGAACTCAGAGGACTTGAATGATTAAGAGTAGCCCCAGGCCTAAATGCAGGCTATATGCCACCTCCCATGGACTTACTTGCATGCCTGAAAGCACCCCGGATAGGCCTGGCTCACATCAGTGCTAGCTCAATTAATAGCACAATAATGCATCAATTCTCAGCCATGGGATCCCTGGGTGGCGCAGCGGTTTGGCGCCTGCCTTTGGCCCAGGGTGCGATTCTGGAGACCCCGGATCGAGTCCCACGTCGGGCTCCCGGTGCATGGAGCCTGCTTCTCCCTCTGCCTATGTCTCTGCCTCTTTCTCTCTCTCTCTCTCTGTGACTATCATAAAATAAATAAAAATTTAAAAAAAATTAAAAAAAATTCTCAGCCAGCTCAACATAATACCCCTTCTCCCTCTGCGGTGCCTATCTATCATCAGAACCCACCCCACCTCTCATTTCAACACACTTCCACACATCTCAAGTGTTTCTTTTTTTTGTTTTTTAATTTATTTATTTATTTATTCATGATAGACAGAGAGAGAGAGAGAGGCAGAGACACAGGCAGAGGGAGAAGCAGGCTCCATCCCAGGAGCCTGACGCGGGACTAGATCGTGGGACTAGATCCCGGGACTCCAGGGTCGCGCCCCAGGCCAAAGGCAGGCGCCAAGCTGCTGAGCCACCCAGGGATCCCCCATCTCAAGTGTTTCAATCATCGATCACCTTCATGCAACTTTACTCCTTCCCAGGCCCTTTCCATCACCCTAAATACCCCAGAGGGCTTACCCACCCTCTCTGCCCTCTGCAGATCCCATCCAAGCTATTCCTGACATCACCCACCAAACCACTCCCTCCTGATCCACAGAAGCTACCAACTTCTAGCTCCCTCGAGGAACTGAGCCTCTGGATTGACGGTGATCAAAATGTTGCTCCCTACCCTAGCCAGCTAAAGACTCCAACATCTAAAAAAAAAAAAAAAAAAAAGACTCCAACATCTGCATGAGCACGTCCAGCTGGGCCTTCTTTGACCTTAAACCCCATACCAGCCCCAGGCCCTTAAACCCCACAGCTGGCATCTCAAAGTCACTACACTGGCTGAACCCATGTCTGTGGACCCCCACGGATTCTCTCTGAAACCCCCATGCACCCCACTAGTCTCAGCACTGGAGGGCAGGGGGCAGGAGTCAGCAGACTTGCCCTCACAGCCAGGCTGCCACCCACTAACCCAAGAAGGTAAGCGTTTTTCAAATCCTTTTGTAATCTTTCATCAAGCTAACAGTCCAATCCACCTAAAGGCTACGAATACATGTAAAGACTCTTGATAAGGATACTAGAACCTGGTAACAGGTGGCCTCTGGGAAGGGGGTCTGAGGCCCAGGGGTGAAGACAGACTTCCTCATCCCGGAGTTCCTCTTATATTTCTGTTTTTAATATGTGCACATATTCCTGCTCTCAGCTCAGCGCTCCCTCTCTCTATATATATTTAGATATAATCTCCCACTCTGTTTACATACATATAATCCTACACTGGGGCATGCACATAAAAGAGGGACTTACCACTGACTTTTTCTCTTTTTCATTTTCTCTATCTTTATCTACAAAAGAAAGAAGTCCATGTTTAAAGTCAGCTTTGAGTAATTCATTCTTAGTCCTAATTTTGGAAACCACCACAGAAACAGTAATATTTATGCTTCCTCCCTGGCCTAAGCCTGTCTTCCATCGACATGGGAGTCCCCCCACGGGTGGATGGAGGCACACCTGCCACTGCTCTCCACCTACACGTGAGACACACTGCGCAGCGGCGGCCCGGGGCCTGTTGGCACCGCCGGGCCCCAACTGTGCTCAGCGTTTTTGCACCTGGTAGGTCATACTTTCCACTTTCCATGCATTTCGTATTTACGATCCTCACAGATGGGTCCGGCAAGTCAAGACACAGGGTGGCCTCCACAGGGACCCCGCGGCTAAGAGTGGGCAGCGTGCGTGGGTTTCGGGGTTTCGGGGCTGACATCACACGGACGCTGGAGGTGCCCCGCACGGCCCAAGACCAGAGAACGCTACACCCTGGCTGCGACGGCCGCGGTTCCCCTCTCGGAAAGGGGCAGCCTCCACCCAGTGGGAGCAGGAAGTCAGAGACTAAACCACCCCCCACCCTCCCGGGGCTGCGGACTGCAGTGCAGCTCCCGGCCTGCGTCTTCCCCCAAGGCCGAGAGCTGGACCCGGACCCGAGCAGCCGCCCGCCCGCCCGCGGGGGTGGGAGGGTCTTTCTGCTCTCTGGAGCCCCCTCCCCCCCTCCCCTCCCCTCCCCTCCCCCCACCCCCGCTTCCCGGCTGCCCGCCCCACCCCCTCGCCGCGCCCGGGCGTCTGCGGCAGGTGCAGCAGGTGCCGAGGGCCGCCCCCCACGCCCCGCCCCTCCGCCCCCCTCCGCCCCCCTCCGCTCCCGCGCGCCCGGCTCCCCCCGCCCCCTCCGCCCTCGCGCCCCGCCCCGCCCCGCCCCGGGGGTAGCTTCGGGTTCGGGCCGCCGCGCAGGGAGCGAGAGCCGCGGCCGCGAGCAAGGGAGAGCCGCGTTACCGCGAGGCGGGGCCCGGCGCGGCGGCCCCCGCGGCCCCGGGCTCCAGGCGGGGCTCCCCGGGCCCTGGCGCCGCGCCGCCCGGGCCCCCCAGGTCCGCAGCGGCCGCAGCAGCATGGCCCGGCCCACCCCGCGGCCCGGAGCTTCCTGCGCGAGGCCGCGAGCGCGCACCGCCCGCCCCCCCCCCCCCCCCCCCCCGGCCGCGCCCGCCGGGCCCGGCTCTTAAAGAGACCGGGGCTCGTTTCACCCTCGGTGGGAGGAGGGAAGCAATTCCTGGCGAGGGCGGAGCCAGGAAACCTGCCTCTAACGGGGTGCCCGCAGGATGAACCGCAGATTTGGGGCGGGGGCGGAGGGGTCGGGATGGCCAACAATACCCCCAAACCGTCGCTTGATTAATGAGTGGTGGTTACGTGATTGGCACGTGTTCTCCCCAGGCACTTGGCACACACTTGGGGTGTCATTTATTCTTCCCAACAATCCTGCAAGTGGATATTGTCACTCCCAGAATCCTAGCTGAGCTGATCCTCCGAAAACTTCGGAAACTTGTTTAAAATCAGAAGTATTCATTAAGGGGTGAAGCTGGAACTCAAGCCAACCTTCTTGCCTCACAGCCTACGCTCTTTCCTCCAAACTTTGACATTTCCAGGGTCTAGACTGTCAATGTATTAGATAACTCAAGAAAGTGTTAAAAAACACAGACAAAAAACAGACAACAGGCTCAAATAGAGTTTGCTTATGCTAAGCCCCCCCTCCCCCAGCCAAGACTTAACTGTTATCTTGTTTCCAGAAATGGAAGCTTAGGCCAGTCCATCAGAAATAGCCTGATCAATACTATTTAGTTTGGCTGCTTGATATACCCCTGCCATCCCCTAAAGCAAAGTTACCTTGCAACAGCCAGCCAGCTTTTTTGCCAGTGTGACTTTCTTCTTCTGGCTTCCTTTTGCCTATAGTTCTTTTATCTTGTACAGCTCTTTGGAGCTCCTTTCTATCCACTAGATTGGATGCTGACTGAATCAAATTTTGTTTAAACTTTTTTTTTTTAAGATTTTATTTATTTACTCATGAGAGACACATAGAGAGAGGCAGAGGGAGAAGCAGGCTCCACGCAGGGAGCCCGACATGGGACTCGATCCCCGCTCCCCAGGATCACACCCTGGGCCGAAGGCAGCGCTAAACCGCTGAGCCACCCGGGCTGCCCAAATTGTGTTTAAACTATTAAAAATTAATATACCTCAGTTTCTCTTTTAAGAAAGGCACAACCAAATTCCAACCGAACAGACAACTAGGGATGGGAAGGCAGTCTGTAAATCTCATCTATAGTCAGGTAGCAAAAATTCAGCCCAGGTGTGAGGTAGATGGGGTATATATATATAATTCAACAGGCCCAGGCCCTGAAACCCAAGCTGATGCAGTAAGAACTGTGTGAGCATGCCCATCCTAGTGCTTGGGTGGAAGCATTTCCTACCTTTCTCAGAAATACAAGATGCTAGTAGTCACCTCTAGGACAGAGAAGTCATTTGCCAGAGGGTTCACTCAGTCTCTAGCTCTACCAGAAAACCACACCCCCAGCTGATGCTTTCTGTAATACCTGCCACAGACCTAGTACAGGGAACACGTGTCCTCCATAAACTTCATGATTAAGGGATCCCTGGGTGGCGCAGCGGTTTGGCGCCTGCCTCTGGCCCAGGGCGCGATCCTGGAGACCCGGGATCGAATCCCACGTCGGGCTCCCGGTGCATGGAGCCTGCTTCTCCCTCTGCCTCTGTCTCTGCCTCTCTCTCTCTCTCTGTGTGTGACTATCATAAATAAAAAAAAAAATTAAAAAAAAAAGAGCTGTTTAAAAAAAAAAAAACTTCATGATTAAGTTCCACGTGTTTGTGACTTGGGGTGAGGCTGTTGGATCAGACTGTGATCCCCTGGGGGCAGGGGCAGGGCAGGAGGCCCAGACCATTGATTCAGAATACACATATTCTACATCCAGTATGTGCCAGACCCTGGCAACCCTTCAGGGAGAGTAGAGGACGCTGGCAGGCTCCTGCTTTTGTGCAATTTATATTCTTTTTTTTTTAAGATTTATTTATTTATTCATGATAGACACAGACTGAGAGAGAGAGGCAGGGACACGGGCAGAGGGAGAAGCAGGCTCCTCGCAGGGAGTCTGATGTGAGGACTCGATCCCGCATCCTGGGATCAGACCTGAACCAAAGGCAGGTGCCCACCCGCTGAGCCACCCGGGCGTCCCGCAATTTGTATTCTTAAGATGCACGTCAGCTAGTGGTCAGTGCCATGAAGGGAGAGAGACGGGGTGACCAGGGGAAATCCTGAGTTGGTGTTAGAGATGCTCAGCGTCCCGGGGTGGCCCTGCAAGGGGTTCCGGCGCACCCCCCCATGCCCCGCGTGCACACCCCTCGGAAACGCTCCCGGCAGGGAAGCCCCGGGGTCCTCGGCGCCTGACAGTGCGAGGAAGGCGGTGCTAGGAGGAGCCGCCCGCGTGGCTCCCCGCCGCACCCCGGAAGTGCCCCAGGCGAGCCCCGGGCGGCCTGCAAGGCGACGGCGGCGAGCGGCCGGGCCCCGTGGAGCGCATGCGTAGGAGCGCGAGCCGCGGGGACGTGCGCATGCGCGCGCGAGGGCGGGAACCCTGGGGGCGCCTCGCGGCCGGCGCGGCGGTTGCGGTGGCGGCGCGAGGCCGGGCGGAGCGGGGCGCTGAGGCGCTGAGGCGGCGGCCTGGGGCGGGGAAGCGCTGCAGCCGCGCCCGCAGGCGTGATGTCGACGCTGAACCTGAAGCCGAAGCACCGCCCCTTCTGCTTCAGCGTGAAAGGCCACGTGAAGATGCTGCGGCTGGTGAGGCCGGGCCGGGCCGGGCGGGGCGGGGCGTGCTGGGCGTGCGCGCAGGGCCGCGGGGGACGGCGCCCAGGCCCGACGGGCTGCCCGGGGCGCGGCGGTTCGCTGTGCGCCCGGAGGCGGCCCCTGCCCGCGGCCTTCACGGACGCGCTCGCACGGCCCAGGGAGCACCGTGCTGCGTTGACCCACCGCGTCGGAGGGGCCGAAGGGCTGCGGGGGAGGGAGAGCCCGGGGACGGCCCGCGGGGCCCGGCACGGGGTGGGCCCGGCAGGCGGCGGGGAATCTCGGTGTCTGGGATCTGCTGGTGAACCACACGCGCTGTAAGAAAAGGAGAGGAGTCGAGGCGGCCCCAAAGGCTTGGGCCCAAGCAACGGGAAGGACGGAGCTCGCACCCCTGGGAACCCGAGTGAAGCAGATGTAGGAAGAGCACCCGACGCATGGGGATGTCGTGTGGGCAAGGCGTGAGGAAGCAGGAGCTGAACGACGCAAGACCTCGGGGAGCCGCGGAGGAGCGCTTCTGCATCTTTTTTTTTTGAAGATTTTATTTATTTATTCCTGAGACGGGGGGGGGGGGCACAGGCAGAGGGAGAAGCAGGCTCCACGCAGGGAGCCCGGCGTGGGACTCGACGGGACTCGACGTGGGACTCGACGTGGGACTCGATCCCGGGTCTCCAGGATCGCGCCCCGCGCTGAAGGCGGCGCTAAACGCGGAGCCACCCGGGCCGCCCACGTATTTGCATTTTAGAAGTTGTCCCCTAATACCTTTGTCCTGGTAGCTCAGGGAAGATACCTAAGGGCTGTAGCTGTAGGGGTGAAGAGGGGATGGGTTCCCAAGACGGTTAGCGTTAAATCAGCAGGACCTGGGGATTGATACGTTGTGGGGAGTGGTGAGGAGCACCGATAACAGAATTAACTCTAGGGTGGGTGACGGGATAGAGAGTGGTATGAACGATTAAGGGCAAGGAGCAAGCAAGATGAGCCCAGTTTTGGATGCGGTGAATTGGAGATTCCTGTAGGTATTCAGGTAGAGATTGCAAATGACTATTTTATGTGTGAGATGTTGAGGACTGACTTGGGACACGGACCCACGCTTGTCGACCGAGTCATGAACGGAAGCCAAAGGAACGCCAGCATCTTAAAAGGATGGGTGAAAGGAGAGAAGCCCAGCAAGGGAGAATCGCTGCAGGGGTATAAGGACTAGGAGAAAGTGACGTGCAAAGAAAAATAGGAAAAAGACAGGCAATGGCAATTAGGCCATGGGGTCCCATAGGATAAGAGCTAAAAAAATGTTCATGAAGTTTAGTAATTCTGAAAAATCATTGAGCAAAAGTAGTTTTCAGAGTGGTGAAGAAACGTGTGAGATATCGGTGGGATATTTAAAAGAGAACTGGAGGGATCCCTGGGGGGCGCAGCGGTTTGGCGCTTGCCTTTGGCCCAGGGCGCGATCCTGGAGACCCGGGATCGAATCCCACATCGGGCTCCCGGTGCATGGAGCCTGCTTCTCCCTCTGCCTATGTCTCTGCGCCTCTCTCTCTCTCTCTCTGTGACTATCATAAATATAAAAAAATTTACAAAACCTAAAACCCCGCCCAGGCGCCCCCCGGCACCCCCGTACCAGCTCCCCCCCGCGCAGACCCTCCAGACTATTGTGCGCCCCACTAGAGCCATCCAACCACAGTCCCAAAAACCGCCCCACTCTAACCACTGCCCAAGTCCCCATACCCTGAATCCCCCCGTATAGCCTCGCGGCATGAGGCCAGACCCCGACCCCCTCCCGCATACCACACCCAGCCCACCCTCCAACAGTAACCTTACGCTACCCATCCGGAGGAAAG